CAATGACCTAGCTAGCTAGCTGTCTCTAGTAATATCAGTAGATCTTTCAGATAATTACAACAATGACCTAGCTAGCTAGCTGTCTCTAGTAATATCAGTAGATCTTACAGATAATCTTACAACAATGACCTAGCTAGCTAGCTGTCTCTAGTAATATCAGTAGATCTAAGTTCTTACAACAATGACCTAGCTAGCTAGTTCTCTCTAGTAATATCAGTAGATCTTTCAGATAATATTACAACAATGACCTAGCTAGCTAGCTGTCTCTAGTAATATCAGTAGATCTTACAGATAATCTTACAACAATGACCTAGCTAGCTAGCTGTCTCTAGTAATATCAGTAGATCTTACAGATAATCTTACAACAATGACCTAGCTAGCTAGCTCTCTCTAGTAATATCAGTAGATCTTACAGATAATCTTACAACAATGACCTAGCTAGCTAGCTCTCTCTCGTAATATCAGTAGATATTACAACAATGACCTAGCTAGCTAGCTGTCTCTAGTAATATCACTAGATCTTTCAGATAATCTTACAACAATGACCTAGCTAGCTAGCTGTCTCTAGTAATATCAGTAGATCTTACAACAATGACCCAGCTAGCTAGCTCTCTCTAGTAATATCAGTAGATCTTACAGATAATATTACAACAATGACCTAGCTAGCTAGCTGTCTCTAGTAATATCAGTAGATCTTACAGATAATCTTACAACAATGACCTAGCTAGCTAGCTGTCTCTAGTAATATCAGTAGATATTACAACAATGACCTAGCTAGCTAGTTCTCTCTAGTAATATCAGTAGATCTTTCAGATAATATTACAACAATGACCTAGCTAGCTAGCTGTCTCTAGTAATATCAGTAGATCTTACAGATAATCTTACAACAATGACCTAGCTAGCTAGCTGTCTCTAGTAATATCAGTAGATATTACAACAATGACCTAGCTAGCTAGTTCTCTCTAGTAATGTCAGTAGATCTTTCAGATAATATTACAACAATGACCTAGCTAGCTAGCTGTCTCTAGTAATATCAGTAGATCTTACAGATAATCTTACAACAATGACCTAGCTAGCTAGCTGTCTCTAGTAATATCAGTAGATCTTACAGATAATCTTACAACAATGACCTAGCTAGCTAGCTCTCTCTAGTAATATCAGTAGATCTTACAGATAATCTTACAACAATGACCTAGCTAGCTAGCTCTCTCTCGTAATATCAGTAGATATTACAACAATGACCTAGCTAGCTAGCTGTCTCTAGTAATATCAGTAGATCTTTCAGATAATCTTACAACAATGACCTAGCTAGCTAGTTCTCTCTAGTAATATCAGTAGATCTTACAGATAATCTTACAACAATGACCTAGCTAGCTCTCTCTAGTAATATCAGTAGATATTACAACAATAAGCCAGCTAGCTAGCTCTCTCTAGTAATATCAGTAGATATTACAGCAATAACCTAGCTAGCTCTCTCTAGTAATATCAGTAGATCTTACAACAATAACCTAGCTAGCTGTCTCTAGTAATATCAGTAGATCTTACAACAATAACCTAGCTAGCTGTCTCTAGTAATATCAGTAGATCTTACAGATAATCTTACAACAATGACCTAGCTAGCTAGCTGTCTCTAGTAATATCAGATAATATTACAACAATGGCCTAGCTAGCTAGCTGTCTCTAGTAATATCAGTAGATCTTACAGATAATCTTACAACAATGACCTAGCTAGCTAGCTCTCTCTAGTAATATCAATAGATCTTTCAGATAATCTTACAACAATGACCTAGCTAGCTAGCTCTCTCTCGTAATATCATTAGATCTTACAACAATGACCTAGCTAGCTAGCTCTCTCTAGTAATATCAGTAGATCTTACAGATAATCTTACAACAATGACCTAGCTAGCTAGCTCTCTCTAGTAATATCAGTAGATCTTACAGATAATCTTACAACAATGACCTAGCTAGCTAGCTCTCTTTAGTAATATCAGTAGATCTTACAGATAATCTTACAACAATAACCTAGCTAGCTAGCTCTCTCTAGTAATATCAGTAGATCTTACAACAATAACCTAGCTAGCTAGCTCTCTCTCGTAATATCAATAGATCTTTCAGATAATATTACAACAATGACCTAGCTAGCTAGCTCTCTCTAGTAATATCAGTAGATCTTTCAGATAATCTTACAACAATGACCTAGCTAGCTAGCTCTCTCTAGTAATATCAGTAGATCTTACAGATAATATTACAACAATGACCTAGCTAGCTAGCTGTCTCTAGTAATATCAGTAGATCTTTCAGATAATCTTACAACAATGACCTAGCTAGCTAGCTTTCTCTCGTAATATCAGTAGATCTTACAGATAATCTTACAACAATGACCTAGCTAGCTCTCTCTAGTAATATCAGTAGATATTACAACAATAAGCCAGCTAGCTAGCTCTCTCTAGTAATATCAGTAGATATTACAGCAATAACCTAGCTAGCTCTCTCTAGTAATATCAGTAGATCTTACAACAATAACCTAGCTAGCTGTCTCTAGTAATATCAGTAGATCTTACAACAATAACCTAGCTAGCTGTCTCTAGTAATATCAGTAGATCTTACAACAATAACCTAGCTAGCTCTCTCTAGTAATATCAGTAGATCTTACAACAATGACCTAGCTAGCTAGCTGTCTCTAGTAATATCAGTAGATCTTACAACAATAACCTAGCTAGCTAGCTGTCTCTAGTAATATCAGTAGATCTTACAGATAATATTATAACCACGTACCAGTTTATCACTGCATGTAACTTGTGAGGCATAATAACTCTATTTAAACTTGCGAATTTAGTGACTTCAATATACCACTTGTTTTCACAGAGTTCAAATGAAAAGGGACTTCTAAGTTGACAAACCCACATTCCATAGGAGCATTATTAGCTATTTGGACTTAGAAAACCGGATGCCAAATAACAATGCCAAGTACTAGATAATTCCTTAGCTATGTGGAATCTCCAAACGACTTGAGGGAACATTGACCCAGAGTTGTCATCATTAGGTATTATCAAATCAATATATAACAACTACATGTATATTGGTAAAAATTATTTTTTATATTTCATTGAAACATTAACAAAACTGATATTAGCAAAACCAAAATAAACCAGAATTATACAATATAAAGACTGATTTGTGATGAAAATAAACACTAATTTAATACTGTCATGAAGTTGGAAGCAAATGAGACGATTAATTTTTCCTTTAATTACGATTATTGCATAGATCTTTAGATATCATTACAGTTAATATATTTAGATAGAATATTAGAAATGTTATTAAATACTGTGATGAGATCGGAAGCAAATGAGACGATGGGTTCCTTTAATTATGATTATTGCATAGATATTTGTATAATTACAGTTTTTTTTAGCATTTTGATCATCTTCACAATGGTCAAGGTATAATAACAAACAGTATTAGATAATAGATAACAGTCAAGATTAATATTTAAAATGCTATAATGTTCTCAATTTAAGACTATTGTCAATTATGGCACTTTGAATCATATTTAAAATCATATAGATGAAGTAAAATTAAAATATACTTCTAGATATTTCATCTTGGTTTATTTTCAATAGGTTACTTCACTCATACTTGATCTGACAACATTGCTTTGAAAGGTATGTTCATTAATGCATGCTCTGTTCAGTAAAAGCGTTTTCACCACATATAAGGAATGAATTCAGAGCACATGCTGATTTACAATGGTCTTGAAAGGTCTTTTCAGGTTTCAATGTACTTATACTGTCATATTTAGAATCAGAGAAGTAGCCCATTGGAAATAAACAAAACAAACTATCTAGAGCTGTATTATAATCTGATTAATAATCAAAGAACAGTACATAACTATAACATAAAGATTTGTGGTCATGAAGAAAGAATATTGCTGTAGTTGAAAGGTTTTATATTAGACTGAATATAGTGCGAACAACTCTCTTTATTAAAGAACACTGGTGTTTGTTGAACTCTATACATGTATATTAACAATTGTAGCAGTTTGTATACATTTGGAGTGGTTCAAACATAAAGCATTGAGTCCGTTTTATATTGGGATAGTTAAGAAGTAATGAATATAAGTCTGATTTAAATTGTTTTCTTTACTTCTGGCTATTGCCAAATACAATACCGCTACTCATGTATTCGCTACTCATATATTGGTATGAAACTGTTTTTTGATCTTTTTTGATCAATTCTACACTAAATGTGTTCAATAATAAGAGGACTGTATTCAGACTAAATTCTATCTGATTAAAACCTAGAGTTAAGATAAACCAACTATCTCCTCTGTTACTGGGTCTATATCTATATCATAGAAACAGGGTCGTGTTGGTAATCCAGGCATTGTACTCATCTGAAATAAATATAAATATTGTGTCAAGGGAGATAATTTACTGTGCAAAATAAAAAAAAATTGGCAGACCACAACAATCTTAATAAATATGTGCTGCTCATAGAAGTCTTCTTGAGGGAAGAGAAAACCAATTCACTGAACAGTATCAAAATAACTAGAATATATATAATACTAATAATCAATACTTACTGTGCCAATCAAGGGATAAATAAAACCAGCCCCGATACTGGCTCTAGCCTCGCGTATTGGTAATACAAATCCTGTAGGGGCTCCCTTTAACTCTGGTTTATGTGACAAGGAGAGATGTGTTTTAGCCATACAGATTGGTAGGTCATTAAAACCCTGCAAGATAACAACCAAATTTATTAAAGTTCCTGAAAACTGTTCAAGCCATTTAATTCCCTAAAAAGGTAGCATAATCGATATTCAAAGCTCTGATAAGATTGGATTTTGGTGATAGTTGTAAAAATACAGTTTACTGCTTTAGGCATGATTTAATATTTGGGATTATCCCAGATTAACAAACTAAGAATGTTTTATGGCAAACTGTTAGCATCCACTGTGCTGTACATTTTATCGTTTAGGTATTCTTACAGATGCAGCTTTGGGATTCATAAATTTACAAGTGGTCTCATGACTAACAAAAAGGTTGTTGATCTGGTTTGAACTGTAATATGTAATTGTTGGTTTACCTGTTTCTTGTATCTATCTATTTGAGCCTTAGCCTCAGGTGATAATTCTATCCCATCAGCACCATAAATTTCTTTAGCTATTATCTCTATCTTTTCTTCTACTGGTAACTATAATAAAAGTTTTAATACAATCAAGGAGCTACTCATTCAGAATACTGAATAAATCATTTCTTGGCCAAAACATCAATATCCAGGCTTGTTAAGACTGGCTTATAACCTCTCTCAATTATCTCCCCTGCAACAGATACAAATACTGGGGATCATTTATTCCTAATAATTCCAATTTCTGGGTGCAATTTATATTTCAACTATTATCTAAACTGTCCATTCCAATCTTTCTCACTAAGTTATTCCTCTGCCAGTGATTTACTATCTTTAATTTCTAATAATAAATTTCTGACCCACATCTTCAAAATCCCTGGCTTACCTTGACATCATAGAGAAATTTAAAATCACTAGATTGTTGACTAGCGTGTTTTACAGCCTGGGCTAGGTCTGTCGCCCCCTGTCCACCCTCAGCCCATAGATTACAGATTACAGCATCAAACGCTCCATTAGCTTTCGATATCTTCTGAACTAATTCTAACTCTGACTTCGTATCAGTTCTATAAAATACATTTTAAATATTTAATAATTATCTACAACTGATGAGGGTAATTAAACAACCTGACATTATCCCTCCTGAAACACGAGATTTTATTCCCTATGTCAACTCAACCCACCTGAATCACTGAATCAGAGTTAAACTAGATGGAAACAATCCAGTAGGACTATCTCAACCTTCAAGACAAGAGATTGGCTATTTCACTATGTTTTTATCTCTGTATATTTAATATAAAACTTACGCAAAACCATTGACAGCAACAACAACTGGAACCCCAAATTTATTGGCATTTTCTATCTGTTTATTCAAATTACTGCAACCTTTTTCTACCAGGTCTAAATTCTATAATCAGATAATCAGGGTTAGTTTTGATACAACTTAAATAGACAACTTGTTCAATATACATTATTCAGTATGTTTATTCACTTTACTATAAGAGAAATCATTTAACATTATTTTTATTTTGTATACTTCATGGCTCAAAATTAATAAACTGAATATAATTTCACTTCAATACTTGTAATAATAGAGATCAGACCTCATAACAGTGTCCTGTTTAAAAAACCGTTTCACCATTTTGGGCACTTTTGCACTCAGTAAGCAATACGAAAGTCACTGAAGTTTATAGAAAACTCTATATAACTAACAGCAAGATAAACACTATCAATAATTAATTTTATAATAACAATCTAGGACATAGTACCTCCTCTATATATTCTCTAGGTAGTGGTACACCTGCTGTAACTGTGGGTCCTCCACCGTGCATCTTCAACGCCCTGACAGTAGCTACTAACACTACAGCGTTTGGTATCAAACCAGAGTACCGACATTTTATATTGAAAAATTTCTCCATACCAATATCAGCACCAAATCCTGCTTCAGTTACTGGAAGAAAAATATTTCAGGTCTAAATTAGCTCAATTTATTTGTTATCAACCGAGTTATGAATTTCTGAGTTGCGAATCGCATTTAGGAGCTACTCTGAATTCAGTTTTTCACTTTTTATAAACTGTCCCATCTTTCATTCAGAATCCTACTGATATGACATAGAAGGATGCTGTCTACAACATATTTTTGCTAATTGAATGCAAGATAAGTCCCATAGTTTCAAGATCTGATACCATGATCAATGCTTTCCGGTTAGTCCGATCTTGGTTTCCAACCCCTATAATCAATAATCAAAACAAACTTACCAACAATACCATCTTCTCCTACCAGTTTTAATGCTATTTTATCAGCTATTATAGAAGAATTACCATGAGCTATATTAGCAAACGGTCCTGCATGTACAAACACTGGAGTTCCCTAAAATATATTTTATATAGTGTACAGTTATAGTAATAACCAAATGTTCTGAAGTATAAATAATTCAAATGTCTTTCAAAGAGCTTTCTGTAATTTCACAACTTTTATTTGACCTTTATTGTTATAGTGATCAGCAGGTAAACATTCTATCTTGTTATTTTATAAAATATAGATGTAGATATGAGATGAGGTTTGTAAAAGGGATGAGCTGGTAAATAAAACAACTGGCAGAATGTTTTAATATATGGAATTGTTTGAAGATATAAAATAATAATAACTTACCTCTAATGTCTGCATGAGATTTGGTCTAATAGCATCTTTCATTAAGACTGTTAGAGCTCCACTGATACCCTAAAATAAACCAACATATCAAATATTATAAAAACATCTATTAATTCAAAATACACAGCTTTCAGTTTTACTTTAGATCTTTATACTTAATCATAGTGTCAAATATTCACACATTTAATATCATACAATATACAGTATATTAATATTTCACAAAATCATTTGTTTCTTATCAATTTGATGGTAGCAATCCAAGCGCCCCAGTGTTCCTATGCGGATTCAAGATGGCACTAGAGGTGGGGGGTGCGGGTTGGGGGGAAGTTCTCTGAAGCTGGAGAATACATGTTACGTGATATAAAAAGTGAAAGATGAATAATTTTTTCAATTTTAAAGGCCCAAGGGGTCTATGGCTCAAAAATAACCACTTAAATACATATCTCTTGACAACCCAGTAGGGAAGAAGTTTTCAGTCTTACAAAATATGAGTAGAAACTTACTAAATCATCTGCAGTAACAGGAACACCTGCTGTACTACTGGCTACTACCATTTTACCCAGACGACTTCTCATATCTTTAAGACTTGTAGTTAAAGCTAAAATAGCCATTATCTCACTAGCTACTGTAATATCAAACTGGGTCTAAAATATAACAATCATATATAATTAACTATAATGAACTATAATATCTAGAATTAAACTTAATTTACATCTTACAGTTCATTTTCAAATTAGAAAATTTCTTCTATAAAACACTGTTTTATTGAGCCCAATGACAAAATGAGAAACTGATAAACATGTTTACCTCTCTGGTGTGCCCTCTCTCTAGAGGACCTTGTCCAATTGTTATACGTCTCAAAAATCTATCATTGGTATCCATTACTAGAAAATATTATTACAAAATAAATAGTTTGCTTGATGTTTGATTAGTTCAGAGAAACAAATATACAGTCAGTGTTTAATTACTAAATACTCACTGACAATCAAACAATACTATATCTTAATAATGTAATCTCTATCACTTGAAAACATGAAAATAGTAATAAGGAAAGCTTAAATCACTTCAAACTATATTCCTTCATAACAACACATTAGAAAGATTAATAATAAAATAACATATTGTATATAACCTACTCACCTCTCTGCCAAGTTATAGTGTCAACATCAATATCTAATCTTACAAACTGTTTTATTTCATCTTCTGTTAAACTGTTTGGATCTCTAGTTGTTATACCTAGTTTCTGTATAAAATATACATTATCTTATAAAACTAAATCTAATTTATACCATTACACTACATACATGGTTCCTGTCCTGGGCTAGTGAAAACAAGCAACCCCTTGGAGTGATCAATGAGTAAAATATTAGCCTACTGTCTATTGCTTTCCAGACATCCAAAGCTTATAGCACATTACACATCAGTTTATTGTTTGAACACTTATTCCATGACACTGTTGAACAAATAGTAATTTTTAACTCACATCCAATAATAATATTTCGTTGACAAGCAACAAACACTAACCTCTAATCTAGAAATCTGAATCGGACAAAATTCCCTCTTTCCTTTCTTCTCTGGTACCAGACGATTATACAGCGCCTCATCTTTCTGAGTTGATTCATGAAACATTCTAGCCTCTATAGCAGCTGCTAGCAGATTATTGGCTGCCGTAATAGCATGGATGTCTCCAGTTAAATGTAAGTTAAATTCTTCCATTGGTATGACTTGAGAGTAGCCTCCCCCTGCTGCCCCACCTGTAAAATAGAATATACCGGGTAATTATGATACCAGGAGTAATTTTACCAAATGAAATATTGCTGGCTCTCCAAAAAGGATATCGATTGATAAACCTAGAGTAGAATAGCATCAGTATTTTATATGAGTTTAACAAATGAGTCCAGTGAACTGCAACTACCTAGATAGCATCTTTGACTTCATAAATATTGCAACCAAGAAACGAATGATCTCTAAGATTACATCCAATAAGTGAAATATTTTTTAATGCTGAATAAATAGTGAAATCCTTACCTTTGATACCAAAAGTAGGACCTTGTGAAGGTTGTCGTACACAAGCAAAACAATTAGTTTTTAATTGAGCACCGAGAGCTTGAGCTAAACCAATTGTTGTTGTACTTTTACCTTCTCCCAGGGGAGTAGGCGTGATCCTGAAAAAATCAAATTTCTAGATTAATAATGATGTAAAATGCAGTTTTTAAAAGATATTGAAGGATTGGAATATACATGAGAAAAACAATATGTTAAGAATAAAATAAATCTGATATCAATATATTGTCAAAATGTTTTTAGATTTCAGGTTTTATTTTTCTATTCTGATCGTTAATACTTGGTTTATTTATAATCATACTTACCCTGTAACAACAACATATTTTCCATTCTGTTGATTTTGTAATCGATCCAAAACTTTGAGAGAAACTTTTGCTTTTTTCTTTCCATATAAATCAACCTCCTCACTCTGTAGGTTAATCTCTCTAGCTAGTAGATCAATATCTTTAGGTGTCTGAGACTGGGCTATTTCTATATCACTATAATATAAAATACACTTTAATAAATGATGTTAAAATTACATAGTTTATTATATTGCTCACAGTTATTAAGTCCTTGTTAATTTGTTAGTTTGTGATTTTAATATGTGGCCTGGTCATGGAACTGAATGAGCTGCATCATGTTTTTAATCAATATTTATTAGGTGTAATTTATAATAATGATAATCAGATACAACATAAGCTTCATAAAAAAATATTTGTTACCTAGGAACTGGTGTTTTTAAATTCAGTTTCAAAGGCTGTAAATTCCATTTGTTACCATCCTATAAAATATAAAATGATTATCTCTAATTTTCAAACAGAGTAAAGATTATTTTCAACCATCCATTAAATAATAATCATACAAAACTAAAAAAGGCTGAAGCTGAAAATTTTCAATGTACCTTTTTCTTTGTCACTGAAATATCATAAAATACTTTTCTCTTTCCGAGGCCAAATGGGTATTTCAAATGGTCAAAAAATTTGGTGCTCGCTCATCTCGTCGGCAAACTGAGTTAACACGGCGACAAACTGAGTAAACACGGCTGCAAACTGAGTTAACACGGCGACAAACTGAGTTAACACGGCGACAAACTGAGTTAACACGGCGACAAACTGAGTTAACACGGCGACAAACTGAGTTAACACGGCGACAAACTGAGTTAACATGGCGACAAACTGAGTTAACACGGCGACAAACTGAGTTAACATGGCGACAAACTGAGTTAACATGGCGACAAACTGAATTAACACGGCGACAAACTGAGTTAACATGGCGACAAACTGAGTTAACATGGCGACAAACTGAGTTAACACGGCGACAACCAATTATTGAATAAAATCTTGTCGCCCTGATGACATGTCACCATTATGACTGGTATTAATGAATAAATATTGATATTTTGTTTAAATTATTATACAATGGTGTTGTTACCATCGCAACTTTCTTTAACATGGTTTCGAGTGAGCAATCATTCAATTGAGAGAGTGATTACTGGATTAGCGGTAAATATTCAATTGAAATTCCTGATACAGACGACGAAAGTCCACAGTTTGAGTTAATTGATGGAGCCTCCCAAATACAGAAGAAGATGTTGGTAGATAACAAAGGTTTTACTTTTGCTTTTTCTAGGAAAAAGGGGCAAACAACATACTGGAGATGCAGTGTAAGGGGTCAATGTACGGTCACAGAATGGAAAGTTTGTGCCTGATCGACATTGTCATAGCCATCTGTCCAAGCCAGGTCTAAATGATGGTATAAAATACAGGAAGTTTGGTAAAGCCCTTGGTATTAATTTGGTTTTCCAGTCTGGAAATGAGATCGCAGAAGACGTCCTTTCTGCTTGCGTTGATGAAGGTTAACTAACAAAATCTTGTCACCGAGATGAAATGTCGCAGTGATGAATTGGCAAATATTTTCGCCACGTTGTATTTTGTTGTTGTGTTAACTAACAAAATCTTATCACCGAGATGACTGATATTCAAAAATTTAACCTTTGACACTGTAAAGCAGTCTTACCCCAGCTATATCAGTTTTACGTTTAGCTGATTCCACAGTATTCTGAAGTAACATAGCAACTGTCATCGGCCCCACCCCTCCTGGTACAGGAGTGATCCAGCTGGCTTTTTCTTTACATTCTTCGTAATCTACATCACCGACCAACCTCTTCCCTGATTTCTTACTGGCATCTGAAAAAACAAAGTATATACTGGTTAAGAACTTCAGTTTCATCAACATGTTTCAGTATCGTTACCTTTCTAGGATATTTACATAAATATAAAACCACACGAATCAAAACACATCTGAAACCATTCGTCAAATCCAGTACTTAATCAAGATTCTACTTACAGCAATTAGTTTGTCCATACAGTACTGCCAGATTTTTAGTGAAAATTCTCTGTGAAGCCCAGAAAACAGGAGTTCTGAGGTATTTATGTAACATTGTATCACAGTGACTAACGCTCTCTTAATCTATAATTCTGGTTAAATTTTTACTGAGAACTAATATAACATCCTATCTCCAGACCTTACTACTACCTCTTTACCCAAAATGATATTTTTTATCAATGAACTTGAGGCTTTTTATGAATGCCTTTAGGTCATGCTTGGTTTCACTATGTAAGCTGACATCATATACCTGTCAGATTAAACAATCTCACTGTAGCTTCTCCTCCATTCAAAACTAATCAAGCATGGCAAAGGTTTCTATTCACAAAAAACTTATACAAAATCCAATTTTTAAAATTACTTTAATCTTATTGGTTAATACAGATAACCTTAAAATAGATTTAAAATATTGACCAATCAGATGAAATTCATTTTTTTATAAAATCAATAATATTTTTGGGATGGTTTTACACTACATTCACTCCTCTCATAGCCACTTTTCTTCCAAGTAGTTTCCAACAGTTTACAATAAGTTAGCCCTAATAACCTGTATCACTGACAGGGGAAAACTTCATAAATAAATCCCAAGATAGTATCTTGACTTAAACTCCAGACCGTCAGATTTGAGAGTACATGGTTCATAACTAAGCAACCAATCCTTTATGTTACTACATGCAACCTGCTCAATTAAATACTGAGTCAAAATAAATACAGTTTACCTGGTATAGAGTTGATTCCACAATCTATAACAACAGCACCAGGTTTTATCCAATCACCTTTCACAAACTGTGGTTTACCGATAGCTACTACCAGTATATCAGCTTGTAGAGTCTAAAATATATAGTACAACAATATTACAACACCCTGATACTACCCCCTTCCTCTCAGCCCCTCCCAGCCTCAACAACACCGATAGCTACTACCAGTATATCAGCTTGTAGAGTCTAAAATATATAGTACAACAATATTACAACACCCTGATACTACCCCCTTCCTACCAGCCCCTCCCAGCCTCAACAACACCGATAGCTACCACCAGTATATCAGCTTGTAGAGTCTAAAATTGACATAAACAGGTGACAATAACATATCAGATTGAGATAAAATAACATTTTCTGGAAAAATAAGGGAATTAAAAAAAAATACATAAGTCGGATCCATAACTATAATAATAAGTTGAGAACAATGGAACAAACTTTGAAATAACCAGCAACAAAAAGAGAGAGAGAGAGAGACAGTGAGGGGGTTGATAAAATAGTCTTAGTACCATCTTTCCTTTACACATGAATAATAAATATAAAACTGTTGGTACCATCTCACCTCAGCTTTGATATCCTGAGTTTTGGAATGACAGACAGTAACAGTGGCATGGTTCCAGGTGAGTAAATCAGACATAGGAGCTCCAACTATTTTACTTCTACCGATAACTACGGCTTTTTTACCTTTAATATCTATACCTGTAATATAAAACAGAAATACTATTTTAACTATGATGGTGTCTTCATATAGTCATGATATTTTTTTACATTTTTCGGACTATTCAGAAGGCTGCCAAAATCCAGCAAAAATGTGACATCAGATGTTTTTAAACTGATTTCTGCTCAATCAGCAATCTTTGCAATCAAATAAATGTTTTTTTTGGGGTTTTTTTTAACGACTCGAAACCAATGAAATGGAGTTTTACACCTGACTTTTCTTCTCCAGCTTTCTTCAAATCATGAGGTGTTTGATGGGTTTAAACCAGGCCTGTGCAACCGGCGGCCCGTGGGCCAACTGCAGCATCATGTAAAATTCGATGGGAATGCGGTCCGCGAACAAATGCTTCGTTTGCTCTTGTAACTGTTGGTGTGGCCCGCAGGTTGTCGCTGCTTATTCTGATATCGAAACCTGTTATATCTGCGCTCTTATTTCAAAGTATGACGTCAAAATGAATCTAACCAATCAAATCGTTAACGAGCTGTGACCTCGTGTGAAACAGTGATTTTACGTCAAATATATCTGTTATTTGCAATGCACATTGAAATACGTTATTGAATATATGACTTTAAAAAATTGTATGTTTCTCATTTATTCCATGATTTATTGATGGTTAGTTACGTGGCCCACAGCATACTCGCACCCCCCATATGTGGCCTGCCATCGCGAAAAGTGGCATAACATCTTCTTAAATTGATTTCAGCTCAATCATTGTCTCTGGAAAATTTGAAAAATCTGTTTAAAAAATCTTTTCAGCCTTTTTAAATAAACTATTGAAATGAAATAAGCTCTTCATCCAGTTTGGACCCAATCAAGATGGTTTTAAATGTCCTGAGGAAAGGGAGATAACTGTGTACCTGTTCTGCGTATTAATTCTAAACATCCTCTTGGTGTACACGATATCATACAATTATCTAAATCACCTCGACATAATCTACCAGCATTGTCTTGATGTAATCTGAAACAAATACATCTCAATTAAAATTATAACACTGATATTACATTATTATTCATCAGGACTCAATTTTCATCAATTCTGTTGACCATAATCTTAATAATAAACAGAAACATCTCAGTTCAAATAATTTAATTATTATTATTTTGGGTGGTTTAATTTTAGTTGGTTTGTCAATCAAATAAATGAACTTGTAACATAAAATTTGGATACTTTGGAATCAATTTCCATGGATTCTGTTACCATTTGTTTCTTTCATTGTAAAAAATAATTATTCAGCTGTCCTAGGAAACAACATTTAACAAAATAAGAAAGGAGAGATTGTATTTGATACCTACCCATCTACATCTTTAGATGGTAAAATAGAATTGGTGACCAGATGAGCATCAATAGGATTGTCTGATTCCATTGGTAGCTGAAATAATACGTGAGATTATATATTACTATCAGAAGTCAAAAAGAATATGTGGGTATTTCAAACTGGCTCAGTGTTTTAAAATATATTTGTTTAATATACAACCATAGTAATTTAGTCTGTGTTTACTAAACAGCTAATCTGATGATTAATATTATATCTAAAACATGTGCTGTGTGGACAAATATAATACCATAAAATCAACTGGTAAGTTGGGAGCAGGCTCTTCATATAACAAGGCAGAATGAACGAAGGTCAGGTATAATCAAGAAAAGACAATGTATGTTATTTACCTGAACTATAATACCATGTACACTGGAGTCATTGTTTAATCTTACCACTGTTTGTAAAACCTGAAATTATCATATCAATTATTAACAACTTTCATTGCTTTAACAGACATGTTATTAAATGATGTACAACCTACAAGTTCAGTCGCACGCATTAGTTTAACGTCATCACCTCCCGTTGTAAGTTGATCTTCAGGGTATATGATGTTTTATTTTCTGATAATTAGCATTCAAAACCAAATTGTAAATAATTATATAAATTAGGGCCTTCCTCTACAGTAGATAAATTCTCATTTCTACTGACAAGTCACCTGTTCTAGAATGGTGTATAATATTTTCTATACAAACCTCACTCTGAGTTGATGATCTGGGTAGATTTATATGACAAGCTTTCACTCCGACTTCTTTAGCTGCCTTCATTTTCATACTGATATATACATTAGAATCTTCCCTTCCACCAACCTGAATAATATACAATTTCAATGAGACAATAGTGGTCAAATTGAGCCAATCAAAAGTTTTTTCTGAATGACCTAAAGTGATATAGACTTAAGAAACTCGACAGCAATCTAACACTCTCATTCTCAAACTCTGTCTTGATGATTCTGTAAGATTGTGACCAAAAATACACATTCGCTACGCTAAACATACAAAATTTGATACATGTAGATCAACTGATAGAAAATTACCACAGACTGTTTTTGAGAATAGCTTAATTTCTCATACCTGTCCACCAAATTCCAGTTCCACAAAACATCTTCAAGACTTCAAATTCAAGCAAACATTCTGGACGAAGAAAAACATATTGCTATAGCCTACCTGAACCACAGTCAAGCTGGGTAAAAAGTTAGGATTTTTCTTCTGTATACTTTCAATTTCATCTTTAAGATTCTGGCGAATATCCCTGAAAAAATTATTCAATATAGAAAATTTATTTAATGATCATTTGGCTATCTGTTATTCCCTAGATCAAAGGCTTGTATTAGTTGTAATAGGTACTCTCTGGCCACATCAAGTTCTAAATTGACTTTTGGTTATCACTTTTGAATGAATTGAAATATTAATCTCCAAATATTGCTGAGAGTCTTAGATTGTCTTTGGGTTGATGAAAATGCCAGCCAAAACAAAATTATTTGAAACTAAGATTTTACAGAGGGAGATTTTCAGTTCAAAATGTGTCATTTTCACATGAAATTTCTTGGAGAGAAGTGTGTTCATTTCAAGTGCAAATTTTCAAAACTTATTCATGGACCCAAAGACATTCTAAGACAATTGGTATGTACTTGAAAATCATATTTTGAATATTTGTGACATGACAGAAAAAATTCAATTTAGAACTCAAGTGGCCAGAGAGTAGTACAGTCAAGTTATCTAATTTCGTGCTAACCTATTTCTCATGCATTTCCGGAAAGGATTAATAATTTACATGTGCGACCTTGTGTGACCTCCACATTAGCTTGTTATGATAAACTTGGGTTATCTGTACAATGTCAGCTAGTAGAATGAATCCAGTAGTTTCAAGCATGGTAAAATGTATTGATGTATACTTTGACAAATACAAAATGGTGGATTTCAGTTATTACCAAACGTCACAATTTTTTATAGGCCGAAATTCCTAATAATCCCAAGCTGTAATCGGAATTCCAAGTGTTGTCTGCAAGAATGTAGTCCAACGAATGAAATCAGGTGATCAACTAGCGGATTCCGTGTCAGCAGAAAAATTCTATGGAACACAAAAAGGGCCATATTCTTATATTGTTTCAGTGACTTTTAGCAATAAATCTTATTTTGTCAGTCACTATTTTTTTTTTAAATCGTGGTTCTCTGAAGGAATTGTCACTAGTTTATAATGAATTGATATTAAAGATAAATACTAAGAGAAGTTAATTATACCACCCGGTATCCATACAACTTGTTTTTTCGACTTATTTATAGATCGAACAATGTACACGAAAATAGGTGACGCATTCTGCCGCCGTTGTCCAGTTGGTTGCTCATGAAATATGGGTCAAAGTGAAGGATTCATAAAGAAAATCGAAATAAACCAATTCCATTTTTAAACTTTGACGAAATTCGGTGTTGAATCCTTGTATCCACGAAAATAGGTTACACCACTGTATTTGGCTAATGGAGTGATGTGTAAATTTAAGACACCTCTTAGAAACTCTTGGCAGCTTCAATAAAATTTATTCATATGAGCGGAACGTTCATGGTGAAACATATGCAAATAAAACCACAGGCCCAATTCCAAACAAAGAATACCAAATAATAATTTAATAATGCAATGTCAGGTCGCCCCCAGTAAGTATGACATGATCATGTTTATTATACCCATCATATACCCATGGCATTGTAGCGCCATATGGGCCAGGCTTTGATATGTTACGTTCGATTCTACAAAAATTATAGAATGGCATCTGTATTAAAGAAAAGATTCAAACATAAAACTCATGACAATGGATAAATACTCACGCCGAAACCGTTTTACCACTTAAAACCTCGGCCATTTGCTCTAATTTCCCCAACCAAAATTAGTTTTTATCTTTAAAAGTCCTTGGCTTGGTTTATTTCAGCACGTTGTCTAGGGTCATGACCCAAGATAAAATAACTCTCAGAAAATAAACAAAGAAAAGAACACAGCTAATTTCTTATCTCAAAATCAGTGCAGTACATAGAGATAACAAATTTTATCCATATCGGTTGAAAGCTCTTTTAGGGCGTTAACGAGGAAATGTGAACGGGCAGAGGATCGTCAAATGAACAGGCGGACGAACGGACCGACGAACGGGCGGCGAACCATCAGAAAGACTGACCAACCGACTCACAGTTTATATATTCTTCCATTGGCATTGATTCAATGATTGACAACCATCTTGACGAGTTAACTCAGTTTGTTGACGGGTTGAGGAGTTGACATGTAAACGTGTTGACTGTACACAGTCCAGACTATATAAGTCTAAAAAAACATTAAAGCTACTTTGAATAATCTACCTTCTGATGAAAGCCTGTGGAGCCTATTAACATTCCATATTGAAATATGAGTTTTTATTTCCACATTCCATAATATTATTGATATGAAAACCCTCTATGTCCAATATAGGAGTTTTTTTATATTACATTGTTGATTCAGAGTTGCGATAAAGATGTTTTATTGACCATCATACTTACCAAATGATGGACTTTATGAATATTAACTTATCATTTTAGTAACAGAAAAATCATCTAGTAAGTATATTAGTGCTGCATTCTTTTTAATTCAGTCAGAGAAATACTTTCTTTAAGGAATAAACTGCATAACCTATATCTTTTTAAAGTAAGTCCCAGTTAAAAATTTCATTCTTGAGCCCTTCTTGTGACATAATGGGCCTCGTAGGGATAGGATATGATAGTTTTGTCAGAGCATTAATTTTCCGTTTAGCCATGATCGAAAAGTCTATATTTGACAAATCTTTATAACTAGGCCGATATAACTGAGCCAATAAATGTAAGCGATAGTTCAGGAAAACAAACTTTGAAATAATCTTTATTATTTATTTAAACTAAATTATTGAAAGTAATGGATGTGCAAATGGTTATTAATTTGATTTCACGTCTCAAGAATGATTACTATGCAAATTTCATACTTTCTTATTCATTGACTTTTCTTTATTTGCTTCGATATCTTATCAATAAATATATGAAACCAGTGAAAATCATCCAAGATAAAGCGCTGAGTATAAAGTCGGACGGCAAGAGAATCATGACCCTGGCGATGGACCTGCAGGCTGTCCTTTTATCACCCCGTTTAAAGGCATCCGCCCTTTACTATAAAACCAAGCTGCCGGTCCAAAACTTCACTGGAAGCGAACGTTAACTTGTCATCTACCTACATACCTACCTACCATAACTTCACAATATACCATCTCGCTACCAAGAGTATGAGATGTTACGCATGGCATGAAGGTGAGGGTGGACTCACAGCAAGTGAATTCGCTTCGTGTATATGGGATTTTCGTCTCGAATCACCAGATGAATATGACACAGCCATCATTTACCAATCAAAATAGAAATAATGTTATTGCAAATGCATTACAAACCTAATTATACAGAAAATTTTGGATAGAGGCCACACTCAAATGGAGGTCGACAGTGTACATTCGGCTATAGAACAGAAATTAAAACATACTGAAATATACTGTCCAGCTGACTATGTTCGTGTTATGGAAATTGCAAGAAGAACACCAGCACCATATGATGTGAAGTATCTGGATCATACCTTCTTCAAAGCCTTCACCAAAATAAAATCATATAAAATCAATTCGACTAGGTAGTAGAGCAGGGGACCCAACTGTCACTTCACTTAGATGCATTAAGTTTAGAACAAATTACAACTTAACTATTCGGACGATTGGAATGAGTTGCCCCAACCTAAAGGACAAGCACCCCACGATCAACAAATAGATGCTCAATTAATTCCTTTATATACGGCCAGTCTACCGATAAAAAGTATCAAATATAAGCATTTACAGGAGTTAAAACTGTAATGCCCGCCGATTATCATATTTTTTTTACGATAATCTAAGTCACTGAGTGGTATTAAAGAAAACCCGTCCTATATTCACTTTACCAGGCAGTAGAAACTTAATTGCCTGCTATTGGTAGTTTACTTTGACTACATTAAATATTAAAAGGATTGTTGCACGTAATTATATATTTTACATTTTTTTTCCGATGTACTACAAGCCCTGTGTCGACTAATAACCTCCAATTAAAAAAGTATGTTACAAAAAGAGTTTCTTTTTAATTAGTGGTCCAACGGTGGTCGTAGAATTTCGACACAGAATTTTGAGAGATGTTAACAACTTTCTCACTTTCTCAGTTTAATATCTCTTGGTCCAAAAACGTACGTCACAGCAAGATGTCTAGTTCTTAAATTTGACTTTAAAGGCACTACTGTAGAAATATATAATTCGTGCAACAATCCCATTGATATGATTTTAATGAACTTTCTTATTTTTCTCCGTTCACAGTTAACAGTTAAATGCATGTATTGTTCTTAAAAATGAAAATAAAGTGTGTTACAAATTTTGATTATAGCATTCATTATGATTCGATGATATACCACCTTTTATCACAAACCTAGTTTTTAAAATCAGAGACCAAAAACACTGTGGAATTCAAGAGAGTTGAAAACAGGTAAAACACCAATTAACCATCATTTGGGACCATTCAGGATTATAATAGACACTTTTGAATAACAAGAAACTCATATCGGATTTCACTCTTACAAAATGGAATCCTTCTCAATCTAAGATTTACAAACGTTAACAGTGAAACAGAAAAAAGAACGATTAGATATCTGATATATTATCCCCATATTAATATACATTTCATAATTTGTATTTTAAATCCTATTTTTACTATATAAAGTAGTAAACAAACCTTCTATTTTACCGAAATTTGAAAAAAGACCTTCTAAATCAGAATTTATTGGGAAGTAAAGAATATCGATGAACATGAGTATTAGTAGTTAAAAAATAGAAAGATTTTTGATAATATTGTAGCTTTAACATGATTGTATACGAATGTAGTCCAGTTAGAAATCTTCTTTCTCTCTCCCTTGTGGGGTTTTTGCCTGCCTAATTTGGGGTAATTTTCGGTCTAGATTTGGAATATGATGTCTGAAATTACACTATCTTTAAGATTTGATGAGATGATGAGATACTTAAAGGCGGAAGGATAATTCTAAAAATAGTCGTTTTGTGAACTGCCAACTCTAGCGAATGAGGATAACCGGTAGTAATCTACTTTCAATTTGACTAGCTCACAAATTTCATGGTCATGATAGATTGAATTTTTTAGGAGACATTAAGGATTGGTCAGGCTTTCATTCGACATATTGGAAACCTATCAACGAGATTTCTGGAAAAAGTTGTAGGTTGAATATCGTGTTTTAGCATGGGAAGAGATGGCTTTAAATGACTAATGAAGACGAATAATGATCGCTGTTATTGCATTGCCATGATATATGAAATAAACTTTCCACGACATCGGCATGAGCTTTATTTCATTCTGCAAAATAATGTATAGCGTTAACAGCCGTCCCATTTGAAGGATATAATTACTCCCATCTTCAATATCAACCAGCAAGCAAGTCTCAAACGGCTTCAACAGCTTCAAGTAGGAGAAACAACCTCTTCAATCGTCACTAAATACAGCAATTATTATAAAATAAAACATAGTTTCAATATTTTGAAATGCAAACAAAAAGTATTTGATAACAGTTCCTAGAAAAATAAAAATCATCTCCCAACCAACAAATTTATTTCTGTTTATATGGTTTTAGTTTATTACACTCGACCCAATCTTTTTTCAATCATCTTACATTTTTCAATACTAATAATCACACCTACAGAATAACAATAAAATACACAAAAACCATTAATCTATTTAAATAAAACTGAAATGCCCATAGAATAGAGGCCTAAATATATTTTTGAGGGGATACATTGAGGTGACAACATCTCACAATCATGACACTCATGACACTCATGACACTCATCCCAAAAAAAGACGACTAAAAACAAATCCAAACTCAAAGGAAAATACACAACAGAGCAATCAAACCAGGGGCTGCATTAAAGAATTCATCTTTGAAGAGTTTAAAATTTATTTCCATCACAAAAACATATTCATCAGCAACATAACATTGTTTAAAAAAATTTTCAAGGCTAATTCTATCTAATTGACCAGCTGATAGACCTGTTTTCCACATGACCGTACCCGTAACGCTCTAGCTTTCCTTACAAGACAAATGAATCCAGCTCTGAATCCAACAGGCGCAGTCTTTCGAATGGAACGTTGAAACCCTTGCCCAGGGCGCTACAGGCCGCGTACCTTAATGATCTCTCAACAATTCAACCTGACATGACATCTCTTCTTTCTTTTTTTTTTTTTTTTTTTTTTTTTTTTAGGCTAATGCCTTTATGCGCGG